GTGTGTGTGTGTGTGTGTGTGTGTGTGTGTGTGTGTGTTGTCACATTTGCTATCAGACAGCAGTACTGTGTGCCTGCTGCCTTTTGAAGGTTTCTGTGTAAAGTGAGGGATGGGCCTTCTAGATTACTGTTCCACAGTGTGTGTGTATGTCAGTGTGTTGGTGTGTGTGTGTGTGTGTGTGTGTGTGTGTGTGTGTGTGTGTTGTCACATTTGCTATACACTCAAAAAATGTGTGTGTGTTGGGGGGAGAGAGAGAGAGAGAGAGAGAGAGAGAGAGAGAGAGAGAGAGAGAGAGAGAGAGGTGAATCTGAACGTGTGTTTGCCAATCTCAGAGAGTTTACTCTTGAGTGCGGGGTGCCTTTGTTTTTGGAGAAACATACTTTTTGCCGATGGGATTGTCCACCTGCAAAGGTTGTTTGGCCGAAAATATTAGGAAAATTGTCTTGTGATGCTTCTGCTGTGAACTTGTGATGGGAAATGTTGCTGGGCAAAGTTTCAGTCCTCCTCCCCCAAATGCATTGTAGGGGCTCAAATGTTTGCGTGTGGTGTTCTAGAATGAAATAACAAAGTTCCTAATATTTAACAGAGCGGATCATGTTCTTCATTTGAGCTGAGGAGAATTCGCAGAAATGCTGTTTCTTTAAGGAAAGAAAGGGATGTAATCCCTGACATGTCATTTTTGGGAAACTTATGTGAAGGGTCCATTGGCGCTTTTAGCGACTAGAATTCTCCCTGTCACTGGACATGCACCAAGCCAGGTGCGTATTTTGGGAATGCCAGGTTGTCGTGAATTACTGGCGGTTACTCTGATGAAATGCGCATTCTTTTTGTTTGGAAGTTCTAGTTCTGACTGTCTTTGTTGGACCATTATGGTTGTGTGCGTGTTTTGAGCAGTGGCGGCAACAAGAGGCCAAGTGGGTTTGATATAGGGGCGCCTACCATCACACCAGCTCCTGTACAACCTGCAGGTGTGTACCACAGGGAGTGGGATTTGCCTCATCTGTCTGTCCCATTTGGACCTTATCTGTCCCATTTGGGTTGCTTCTCTTTTCCATCGTGTACTCTGGCGGTGTTGTCTTTGTTTTCTTTGTTTTTTTTCTTTTCTTTTGTGTAAAGTGCTCATTCTGATAGTCTGGGCATATTATTATATGCATTGCATGTCCTCCTTTTGCGGTCTATTTGTTCTCAGCTAGCTGGTTGAATCTCCTTTGTCTACTGTCCTGTCACCTTGTTTCTGTCTCTTTTGTCCTGCCATTCTGTTTCTGTTTTCCATGTTTGGGTACTGCAAAAGCCTGTATCAATATGTCAGCTCGTTCCTGCGGTTGTTTTTCACTGTTACGTCCGTACGCAGTTCTATCTGTATTTTCCTTTTTGATGCAGTTTTCGTACAAAAATGTTATCTTCTCCATCTCCTTCAACCACCACTAGTTTGTCAAGTTTTCAATATAATCTCTGTTGCCTCCTGCAATGGCTGCTATCCTTGCTTTGCATGCTTCTAGCAGCTTTTGCTTTCCTTGGTAGCAATCTCTCTCTCCACCCCTCCCCCCCCCTGCCCCCCCGCCCCCCCTCCCCTCTCTCCTCTCTCTTGTGGAGCAGAGCCTGGTCATCAGCATCTCCCTGAGCAGCTTCCATCAACCAAGTGACGTTTTCCCGAGTTCGTTGTTCTTAGCACTGCCCGAGTGTTTCCCTCCTGCTCTCTCTTCCCCCCCCCCCGGCAACCGATGTTTTTCTGGCCTTGTTATGTACAGCAGGATGGTATCAACAGTACTAGTCAGACATATATCATCTGTGAAGAACGATGTGCCAGCAACATTTCACGCAGCTTTGTCAGTGCCTTTATCTGTCTAAGGTCCTCGTTCCACCCGTCTGCGAATGTTTTGCCGATCCCTTTGTGCAACACTCCTCTGCATCGGTTTTGCTCGAAGTTAGGACACGTCTGCTATTATTATCATCCCTATCATACCTCTTGTTGGTGTCGCAAAAACGTCATATCTCTGTTGGTGACATGCTCCACAGACGCGGAGCAATTGGGAGACACTTCGTTGTTTCCTGAGCATGACCAACCACCTCAACCTTCCTCTTCTCGCTTCCTGCATGTTTTGTCATTTCCTGAACGTGACCCACCACCTCGACGTGCCACCATCACTTCCCAAACGTTGGTATCACCGATTGTAACTCGCTCTCCGTCCTGACCAAAGAGAAGTTCAGTTGTAACTTGTAAGAGAAGTTTTTTTTTTTTTTTTTTTTTTTTTATATCGCAAGCCTACTGGTAGTTAGCAAGTGATGCAAATCTGATTCCCTCAGCAATTGCTGGGGCATGATCTGGCTGTAAGCCTCTCGTGTTTGATTCCTTGGCTTCCGTACAAATGAAATCAGCGTTGTTGGGGGGTATTTGTGCCCCCCCTTTAATGATGTCGGGCCCGGGTAGTTGGACACAGGTTGCTGTGCTGCTTACTGTGCCCTTGTTCTGCCATCCTCGTGGCACTTCTTTGTGCTGAACGTTCTGACAAATGACCCGTCGTTGGGTGTGTTATTACATTATAATAATTTGCGTTTCCGGCATGCCATTTTTCTCCTTTTCCGCTCTCAGGACTTGTTAGTGCTTTTGCATCTCGTACTCTGCAGAAAGTGTGTGCTCTCCAGGAAGTGTTATCTGTTTGTTCTCTTTTCCCTCGACCGACGACCAGCTGAAAAACACGGAAAAAGGCAAGACGGTCACAGTGGAACGGAAGCTTGACGACTCTGCCCACACACTTCTTATGTCACAATTCGTCAGGCTGGCACACTGCCTCAAGATTGCAAGTCCCTTCTGGGACTATCACTGTGCCCTCTCTCTTGAGGTTGTCCTCATTTGAAGTAAGGTGCTGGTGGTGGTAGCCTCACAGGGGCACCCTGACAAAGTCTTCTTCTTTTGTGTGCACCCCAAGTGTTGTGCAATAAGACAATTTATTCACTCGTTAATTGTGTGTTTGGCATTCCCCCCCGCAGTCCCCCCCTTTACGGGCTTTTGTGCTTTTTGGGGGGCTTTTATCCTCTCTGAGCTCTTTGCTGTTAACTCATACAAGGGGACAAGGGATGCTTGTTGGTGGTGCACTTGCGAGATTTTTGCGGAGTTGTTTTTTTCAGAGGCACATTTGTGTTTTAGAATCTAGTCTTCATTGATTTCAGAATTACACTCACATCAATCAATAGGTGGAACTGTGGACCTCGCTCCTATACACATTAATCTACATGCATTTGGATCTTTTGAGGACCAGATACGTTCAAAATGTTGGACTCGTCCGAACAAACGCACCTTGTCCAGAGAAAAGAGAAGCCTCCAAATACATGTGGAGTGCTGTGTAGTGGAGCAGGCACTGTGTTGAGCATGGAATATTGACAATTTTCCAACCTGAAGGGTTGATTTTACGATGCCATTGATAAGGACACTGCTGGATGGCAACTAAGTGAAATGAGCTTTTTCTTGACAGGCAGGCAATAATTATATTCATCATGATATTAAGTATTATATAATTATTGGGTCTGTGGTCATATCTACCTGAAGAAGAAGAAGAAGAAGAAGAAGAAGAAGAAGAAGAAGCACGCCACAAATGGTGACTGAGGGACACTGTTCATTCGTTCGCATGTCGTTTGTCGTTTGTTGTGGGATTTGTTTGTCGTTTGTGATGTCTTTTTTGCTCTGTTGTTTTGTGGATGCGGAAGGCATCATCAGCCACATATCTGTCCTTGCCTGTCTACGAACCTGTCTTCGAAGGCCCCTGTAATTACAGCGAGGGAGAGGATTGTCTCCGTTTGGTGCATCCCTGATCATCTTCACCCAACTCCCTCATCTCGAACTTCAAATCTGGCCATTCTGCTTCTTGCCAATGATTCCTGGAACGAGGTGGCTGGCTTCTTCTTGTCCTTTGTTCTACGAAGAATGTCTTTGTCCTTTTTGGCGTTTCCCTTCCTCTTCGACTCTATCTCCATCTCCTTTTATCAGAGTCCACTCGGTCTTTGTAAGTCATTGGATGAAGCAGCCAGAGCTGGCAGCAAGGCAAAAGATGAGGGCAGGTCTTTCTTTGACAGGAATCGTACGTAGGTCTCATCCATGCGTTAGACTTGGGTGTTTTTTTGACGGTAAACACGGTTGTCTGTCTGGTTTATGTCACGCCACTTTATGGGCTCGTTCGTCTGTCGAACGTAGCTTCGCTTTGCATCACTCTGTTTTGCTCCCCTCCATCCTATGTTCGCAGCACTCTGTACACTTTGATATTGTTGCAGTGTGTACAGTGTTGTTGATCGGTGATTGTTGAGGCTGACGTTTTCCAATTTAGGTATTGTAAATTCACCAGCTGCGATTCTGCCTCCTTCGACTCAAGTCTCTACTCCGAACAGCCTTCCACCTCTGGGTGAGTAATCTTACTTTGCTTCTCATCGTTTCGAGTTTCCACAGCTCTGGCTTGTTGATGTGTGGCAGCCTCTGCTCTTCTCCCCACCTTTTGTCTGTTGTGCCTGCCTGGCTTCCGGATACTTCATTTTTTTTTTGTTTCTTGTTACCTTTGTTTTGTCGTTTCTTGTTTTCTGTGGTTCAGACTTGTTGAGCCAAATCCAGATGAAGTGGGTACTGGCTGGACCCCATTTCATCCGGAGATGTTATTGTCAGTCGCTAGGGGCCAGTCTGTACCTGGGATACATGTTTGAGGCAATCGAGGATGGAGATCTAAGGGCATCAAATCACCTCTCTTCTTTTTTGGATTCCGAGAACTGTGGTAGTATGATGTACTCAAGGTGCAGCAAGAGGTTCGGCGTACTGACCCACACGAGTCTGCTGCTGATTTCTTTGGAAGCAGGCCGCCTGACCCTTTGCCAGGGTTTGGTGCGTTACGATGATAGTGAACTCACGAAGAGTGGTATGGTGGCTTAATTCTAAGGCATAGGGATTGGATTTGGTATTAGTTTGGTGGTAGTGGGTGAAAGATTTATTTAATTTTATTACGATCCAATCGTCCTTCTCCCTTTTTCCTATGAAGGACTGGTCCTTACCGGCACCCACAAGTTTTCGATTGAATTTGCAATCTTGTCTGGAAGGCACATATGGGCCTTGTTCGTTGTTGGAGTTGTAGTGGCTTGCGAAACAGCGGACAGCTAACAAGAGCATTCAGTGCTTGTTAGGTTGATCGTGCAGCGGCGGCGTATGATGCTGTTCACTCCCGTGCCAGAAAAAAAAAATGTTGACAGTGGTATATACAGGCCCGAGCTAGGCTACCAGCCGGGCCGCCCGGGTCACCCTATTTTCCCGGACGGCCCGGCCGTGCAAGGACCAGGGAAGGTCGTAGCAAAAAACAAAAAAAAATCAAAAAAATCCGAAAAAATAAATGTTATGCAGAAAAATAAACTGAACAATTTTTGCCTCGGGGTCGCATCGAAATTCTTTACGAAATTTAAAATAAAAAATGAAAAAAATATTTTTATTTTATTTATTTAATGTTTTTTTTTTTTTTTTTTTGGCCCGTCGGGGCAAGTGACCCCGGGCCACTCTGGTAGCCTAGGGCCCGAGAGAATTTGCTTGTTTTTTTTTTATAAATACAACCGTCTTCCCCTCGTGTATGGGGGAGAGCTGTAGTTTTAGCTATGCTATTTTCTTCTCTCAATTCCACCTCACTCTAGCTACCTCTCCAATTGTTGGAACCCAACAGCAATACAACTGTATGGATGATACTTATTTTATTTATCCAACCGCTTGGTTGGAGACACCCAAATTGGTGCCCTCACGATGGGGAGGACTTATTTCATCGGCGAACAACCAGACAAATTTACGTCCTATGGGTTATGGGTTCAAGTCCTGCTCAACTCTGTGCAGGGAGTATATGACATTAACCAGACAAATTCACTACTCCAACTAAGACACCCCCATGCAACACCACCCGTATGACAGAATTTGCATTTGCATTTGCTGGCAGTCCAAGGATGAACTTGCGTCGTTGTTTGATATGATGGACACTCTTCATGGAGAGGAGAACAGAAGATCATGCTTATTGATGGATGCTCAACTCTTTGACGGTTGTTTCTTATTCACTGCATTTGGTGTTTGACTCCTCTCTAGTTGATTCTTGGTGGATATAGTGCAGTGCGAAGCTGGGCTCATTTAGCAAGGTTTGGGCTTTTCATGAAATGACCGGCACTGCTGGTCTTGGCTCCACTTTATTTTGCGCGTGTTTCATAGAATTATGTAACTCACCTTCTTTTGTTTTTTGTTTTGTTTTTTTGTTGAAAAAGGGCTACGATCTTGAGATATTTCCACCGATCTGACTGGCCTCAGGTCTGTATTTCAGAAATTATTTTATTTGGTTCTGTTCATCAAGGGATTCAAACTCACGTCATGTGTGTACCAACTGAACTAGGCCAGTTGGTCTATTGAACTCTTATTCACCTTTTGTGAAATTTTGATACATGCATTAATCATACGTTTATCTTATTATGATGGCGTCTTGAACATGGTTATTTCAATTCCGCTGGCTTTCTAAAGACCGTTTTCTTCTCATTTGCAGGTTCGCTGCCATCCGCAGGGATGCCGACAATGCCTCTTTTCCCAAGTCCATTCTCATTTCCACAGGTGTGTGTTCCTCCATCGTTGTTTTGGGACTTTTCTGAGCCCCCTAATTCTGTTTTCCCCCTTCCTTCCTCCCCCCCCCCCCCCTCTTTTATCAGTTCCGTCTATTTTCAGGTGTTCTAGAAACTCCTGATAATATGAGTAAAGTACATGAAATCCAAGAGTGCTACTGTGGAACGCTACAGCTATGCTCCTTCTCCCCATCTCAGAGCTTCCAACTTTTTTGATGTTTGGGTTAAGCCCATTTTTGAGATTCAGGAGGATGGAAACGCTTGTAATGTGATCTGTCTCGGTGCATCGAGAGCATATATGATGTTTTTTTTTTATGGCTGTGTGTATGTGTGTTGATAAGTGAGCAGTAGATTGGATTTGGGTACCTTTGTTTCACGACAAAACTCTGCAGAGTGATGCCCCGATTGACTCCCGTCCATCTTTTTCTTTGGTTGCAGTTTCCAGGTCTCCCAGCTATGCCTCCACAAGCGATGACGCAACAGGTGGGTGAATATATTCTTTTCATTCATTACGTTACAACCCTGCCGCGGGGTTTGTTTGTCACTGTCATTTGAATGAATTCAATTGAATTGTCATGGTCGGATCATTTGATTTGATGGAGCTGCCAGTCATCTGATTCAATTCAGGAGTGGTGATACATTCGGCTCAGGAGTCTACCGCTCTGGCAATAGATCTAGCAATAGGGTACATCATCGCAGTTGTGTTTTTTACCTTAAAAAATCACCACTACCTTTCAGAGGCAAACACGAAACACACAGATGACCCTAAACCGCATTCTTTGGGTGAACAGTGCTACCATACTAAAATGTCTTGTGGTGTCAGCCCCCACCCTGGCACCCCCCGCCCCTCCCCGAAAAAAGAAGTCGTGCTGGGGCTTTGGCAAAGCTTGGCACACAGTTCTTTTCCACCTCAGCAAAATGAGCCCTCGGAGGTAGCAGTGGATTCAACCACCCCTTTACACGAACGTAAGTAGTGCTGTTACCAGTATACAGGGTAAGAACATTGTGATTCGGGCCTGTGTCATTCTGTTTACTCGGACTCGTTTAGACTAGGTGTGCCCGTCTACACACTCACCATAGGCTACCTACCCTGTGCAGCAAGTTTCTCGTTTGTGGGAAAGGGAGCGTTTCGTTTTGTTTCATGGGGGTACGAAATGGAGTGTGTCGAGGAGAAGTTCGTGGAATGATTTCAAAATTCAAACTGTACTGTTGAGGTTTAAGTGCACACAGTGGAATGGAGTTTGCACATAGTCAGCCAGGGGAGGGGCTTCACACGTTGTCACAACCACGAGTGCTTACAGAGCTCCGGAAGAGAAGCTAGAAGAGGACTGTGGGCAACGCTTTTCCGTTGCTTGCGAAGTGATCAGTCTTTCCTGAAATTACGATAGCATGTAAAGTGAAGTTAAGGCCCGTATTGCATGTGTATAAAGTACTATCAGCCTTATATCATTGGTGTATCAGGTACCATAAGCACTATAACCTTTTTTCATAAGCCAAGTATGTTGAGTGCACTTTTGTATGTTATGTTATGTAGGAAATCTGACTTCAGTGTAGCCTTGTACACTATGTATACGTGGTTGTCCTGTTTCGGAAATCAGGATAGAACATGCATGTGGAAATGGGGAATGCTCATGCGAGCCAGCTTGAATAGCATTCTGAATTTCTGAGAAGCCAGATCCTCCCAGCCATTAAGGATTTCTTTTTTATTTTTTTTTAAAGGAAAGGGGTTCTCGAAATTCACAATTATTTGGCTCTATTCATGTAGGGACTCAAACTGCGGTCTATCTTTCGACAGTTCATGTGTGCACGAACTGAGCTAGGGGCATTGGTATTGTCGTTAGGGGAGCAGATGAAAAACCAACCATGTTTTCTTTTGTTTGAGGTGTGTTGTCATGGTTTGGCATAGCGCAATTACTGGAGCAGTCTCCTCATATGACCAGACTGCAGCTACCAATGTGGGGCCTTTCTAAATGTGACTGCGTCTGACGGGAACGTTGTTGGAGTGCGTCATACTGACTGTATTTTCTAGCTGGGGGGTGACATTGCATTTTCTGTGAGCATTGTTTGTTCTGCATGCCAAGGTACCCCTGAGCAACAACTGGATGCACTCTGTGCCTCTGGGTTGTAGTCATGGTCACGAGTCCCTCTTTCCTTCCCGACTTGTTAGCACTGCGGGAATGTCTTCGACTGAAGCAAGTATGTTGGCTGGTCCTGCTCTCGTAAATTGTCTTTTGGGTTGTTGGGGGGGGGAGGGGGAGGGAGGGAGAGGAGGCTTAATGGAGGCCTTTATACAGTGCTCAATTTGCACGAATCTCGATGCGAGAGTACAACTTGCCATGATGATAGCCATGTCCAATATCTGTTGTGTGGTTCAGATGAATTCTGATGCAGGCATTTGTGCAATTAGAAGGCAAAAGTGGAGAGGCATATATTCAATTAATCCTGTCCTTTCGGGTTGAGTTTTCAATTGTAAACGGAGGATCCCCTGCTGAATATGGCTTTTATGATGCAAAGAAGGGCTAAAAGGGTAGAAGAAGGGCACGGCCAAGGGTAGGGGAAGGGCAAGGGCAAGGAAAAGGGTTGAGAACTTGAGGTGCATGTGCAATGTTACATGCATGAATAAATGACCCCTGCTGTGCATACTTCTTGGTGATCTGTCTTGTGTGCATGTCTGCACGCCATATTGCTGGTTTCTCCAACGTCATCGTATCGCAAACTGCCCGACCTTTGCTGGTAACTCTGTTCTGACATCATGCGCACAGCACGTAAGGCCTTTTGCTTCCTATGAATGACCTTTTTCTCTCTGTAATCCCTTGTTGTTTGTGCTTTCTGTGTTTCTGTGCTTGGGGTGGGGTGTGTTGTCATTCTGTGTGTGCGTATTCATGTCGTGGCGGGTGCGTCATTGTTGTGGGTATTACTGTGGTGAATGGGTTTACATTTGCAGTCAATGGTAATTGTTATCAAGGGTCTTTAACCAGCCTGAGGACTCTATGTTTCCTGCATGCATGATATCGTTGTTCACACCCCACAAGAGTGTCCTGCTGTTGCTGTTGCCTTCATCGTCCTTTTGGTCGCTCAAGAGATTTGAGAAGAGCGAACCGAGTTTCCTTTGCTATTTGACATAGAGAAGTGGTTTGTGTTCTTGTGCATTGATCCAATTGATTGTTGTATGTAGGCAACTCGGCATGCGAGGCGAGTGTATGTTGGAGGCCTGCCACCCCTTGCAAACGAACAGGTACAATATTGATGTTTGATCATCTTACACTACGATGATACCTTCAAAGGGTTGAGGGGAAAAGAGGGTTTTGACGAAGCGAATCCTGTTCTCATTGCCATTGCTCGCTGATCAGGTTATCACCCTCGTACACTGGGGTTCTATAGATCGATGACTACCAAGAGTATGAGCAACGGAGAAAAATATGAAAATCACAGATTCCGTGTGCGTCGTGCTGTCTGCTCTTTTTTTCCTTGTTTGTGTCACTTACGTGCTCTCGTTTAGTTGATATGTGCGTGACGATGTACTGGAAACAGCACTGCTGGTATCGTCATCTTGTTGCTGGCCAGGGAGTTACCCGGGCGGGAGATAGGGTACCGAAAGGTGTAGCTATGGATGCTGGCTGGGTGTGACCGAGTTGAATCTAAGTAGTCAGCTTGTCATGGCTCATCCTTTTGCTGCTGCTGGGCAGTGACATGCAATGACATGAAGGAATTGTTAGGTGCGACTTTCGAACAAATGTAAGCCCTTCCTGAAAGCGTCTGAGCTAAGCATATGAGACGGGAAAGTTTCGACGTGGAGAACTAAGACTCCACAGGAAGTTCGATAGGGATCGTCATCCAGATGCAGCGAGTACGATGGGAGATCATGCCTGCATTTGCTGAGCTTGATCTGACTGCCTCGGCTCTTACATGAGGAGGAGGATTATGAGAAGAGGAGCAGGAGGTGGGGAGAATTAATAGGGAATTTAGGGGAAGATGGCTAGGTGGAAGAGGTGTCGCTGCCAGCCTGCCATCATTGCCCTCTTTATTTGGCTGTTTAGGCTATGCGGTCTTATGGAATTGATCATTTTCTCCTTTTCTTCTTCTGTTTATCTGATTGCATGTGGATTCGAATTTCGGCCTGTATTCAACAGTTCATGAGCGTAGCAACTGAGTTAGGACCCGGTTTTTTTTTTTTTTTTTTTTTTTTCTCTAGGGAGCAACAGTCTGTTTCCTTTCCCCCAGCAAGTCAATAGGAGATACATAGAGTTAGGACCCTGTTGTTAAGTATCGAGGAAGAGAATTGGCAATGATCTTGTTTCCATGTCTCGCTCAGTTATTCCAGTTGTTGTGGTGGTTGCGTTTTTATTACGACTATCACAAACTGCATTGTTGAAGCAAGATGGTTTGACGTAACAAACGGAAGAGAGGACAAACATAATGCCTGATAGAGGATTATGATGAGCAGCAATTGGAGGATTTGCAGTTTGCAGGGATTTCTGAGTACTTTATGTTCGACAATCGGTTGTGATTTATTGCGACAGTTGATTGTGCACTGTTGCCTGTGTTGCTGGGTGGCGAACAAACGGAAGGGAGAGGATAGACATGATGGCTAGGGTCGAGGGTAAAGTTTGGACCGTTGAGTTAGGCCAAGCATGGGTGCCCAGTCAGGAAAGAGGAAGTTGTTGAAGTGAGCGAAGCCGCTCGCGGGGAGCAATTAGTAGCGGTTTAGACTTCACACAAGTTCGGAGAAAAAAGCCTGTAAGCTAAGCTGGATGATGCTTCCAGTCCTGTTTCCCCACATAGAACTGTGAGGACCCCGGCCTAACTGTTTTGAAATAAAATGAATTGTTTTAAAAAAAATGATCATGCTGGATAGAGGATTGTGACGAGTGCTGGATTTGGTGTTCGCAATGCATCAGAAGGTGATGTTTGGATCCATTTGTGGCCGTAAGGTAGGCCCAGGTTTGATGTACTACCGTCTTCACCTGGATAGAACGCTTTATAGCCGCATTTGGGGCAACTTTCAATCCAGATGCAGCCATAATGTTCTATTCGGGTGAAGACGGTAGTCTGCTGGCTTCGGGGTTTGCTGTTGAGATGCGGTAGTTGGGGAGACCAGTTACAATACGATGTTGTCTGGATTCCATCAGTTCATAGCGCCTTTGAAACTGTTTTGGTGTCCAGGTTGGGTCAAACTAAATTAAGGGACAGTAGTGCTTCCAACCCAGGGGTTGTGTCCAGATTGGCCCACTGTCTGGGTCTGTGAAAACAACATCGTTAGCATTTTATGAATCCCGTGAACGGTCTGGAGTCCATGTTGATCTTCTTTAAGCAGCAGAAGTGCCTGGAGGCAGATTGTCCATGCTAGGCCTGAATGGCGTTTGCTGTTCTTAGCACGATTTGTGCTATAGATCTTGTTGCTATAGAAGCTTCTCACAACCTGCTGACAATGAGTGCATGTGCTGTTTTGTTGTTCTGCTAGAGTGTCGCAACATTCTTCAGCACTGCTATGGCTGCCGTAGGAGGAAACACTGCCGGTCCAGGTAAATAACTTGCCCACTTTGTCTCCTGTTATCCCTCGTTATTACCAAAGGCTACAACCTGATGCGACCCCTTTCAGTCTTTTTCTACTATCTCCCTTTCCTTTGTCCCTTTTTTGTTTCGCGGAATGGGCTTCTCTCTCTCTCTCTCTCTCTCTCTCTCTCTCTCTCTCTCTCTCTGTGGGTCATTTCATTAGCTGGGTTCCCTGGCACTGCAAGGTATCTCCCTTTCCTTTGTCCCTTTTTTTTGCAGAATGGTCTCTCTCGGTCATTTCATTAGCTGGGTCCCTTGGCACTGCATGGTAGATTCACAACAGGCCCCAATCAGCAAGTGGAGTGGGATTGAATTCATTATTATTGTGGTACTAATTTGTCCAAATGGAATGGTGGTGATGGATAGAGAACTTCAGAACCCCTCTACGCATTGTGAAGGGGATACCAGGGAATGAGAATACAATCCCTGGGTGATTCAATGACGATTAGAGGGTTTACAAAAGGAAATGTATTGGGCGGTTTTGCTGCCATACTGTGCCCCTCTCTAATAAGCCATGCCAAAAATGAGGGAGGGAAGCAGACAAGCGGGGACAAGTCCGCATGCGCTCCGCAAGGTTGGTTGTTAGTGGTGAACGGATGATGGAGAGGTTTGTCCGGTTTGATGCTGGGTGATGCTGGGTGGGGGCTGAGCGATATGGCTGCCCATGAATGGATGGGGTAGGTAGGAGGGGTTGTATGCAGGTCGGAAGGTCTCGTGGAAGAGGCAATCATTGGTTTTGATGCAATGAGCAACCAGAAGGGAGAAGTGGGGTGTTTACTTCTATCCGTCATCTCACTTACACACTTAATTGAGATGAGATCACTCTTGTTTGCAACTCCATCGAACGTTGGAATTGAACAATCACATCCAAAAATAGTTTAAGAAACCGAAAAAAGCTGATGTAGAAGTGGCCGCCCTGCCTCCCCGAGCGACGTTCAGCAATTGGCTCAAGAGACGGTCCCAGTGAAAAGCAAGTTCTCACCAGCTATGACTGTGCCCTCTCTCTCCTCTATTCGTGTTGAAAGTAGTGTGCACTTCCAGTCTCATCAAGCAGCAAAGACGTGATGAGTGATTTCTAAACGAGAGCTTTGCTCGAACTCGTTGCTTTTGATGAGCTGCTACTCCACGGGGCCTACGGGGGTCTGTCTCCCAATACAGAAGCCGAAATTACCAGCAGCCATCAGAGGTCCCACCAGTGCTGTAGGCAAAAATAGACACTGTACACACTATGCTTGGCAAACTGAGACTGCACACACAGGGCTCAGGTTCAAACCTCGCCATCTTCAAAACAGAACAACCGTTTTCCTCGTTTGTTATCCAGCGGTATCCAGGCTGAAATCCCGCAAATACTTGGGCAGGTGGCAGGTTTGAATCCGGCAATCCCTGCATATGTGAGGTTTAATCGCTGCCCCTTTTTCAGCATTGAAACAAAGTGAACACGGCTTTCACCCTCTCTACCTTGGGGCTCCTATTAATTACTGAAAAGTGGGGTGCTATGAGAGGTTTGATTGCTGCCCCTCTCGCAGCATCGAATGCAACTGAGCACGACTTTTACTCTGTTATGACCCTGGCCAATTGCGAGATACACATCCATCAAAAGCACAATGCCGTCCAACTGCAAAAGGAAATGAATGAACTTGAGAGGAGAGAGAAGGTAAGAAGAAGGAGGAGAAGTAAGAAAGAAGAAGAAGATGATCTACACCTGCAAAAGCAAATGTCAAGGCTCTTCTTCTTCGCCCGACAACCTCCTCCCTGTTATCTCCCCCTCTCTTATTCATACAAGAAATAATAATACAATGTCGAAAGGCTGAACCAGAATCAATGTCCGAGTCCCACTTCTACTGCATGTAACACTTGAGGTCCACCATAGCCATGGCTGCCTCTACCCTCCTTCCACCTTGAAGGCCGAGGCTATGGTGGACTACTACGGCCTGGCCCTGATATGCAACGGACAACGCAAAGCAGCTATGGCTGCCCAGGCTCTGCTGTGCAGAGGACAACTCAAAGCAGCTATGGCTGCCACCACTCAGGTCGCCATGCCCCACTCTGCCTCGAAGCTTCTTGGTGCCGCTCTCCCCTTGCTGGGGTCTTCTTGCTGCAGCGCCCACCAAGGTGATGAAGATGGCTGCCACCATAGCCAGGTAAGTACCCCTGGCGCTCCTCCCTCTTCCTCCTTCTTCTTCCTCCTTCCTTCTTCTTCTTCCTCCTGTCCTTCTTCTTCCTCCCCCAGCAGCGCTACTCCAACCCAGCGCTGCTCCACCTAGCGCTCCACCAGCGTGTCGCCAAACTTGCACACTGAGAATGAGGYCGGGCTCTTCGCCCGGTCTGAAGATATAGCGGCCTGCTTGCCTCCCTGGGCGGTGACTTCCAGGCCGCTCGGCCTCTCCAGCAACCGGTACCTCCTCCGTTTCGGAGGGAAACATCATTGCAGACTCTGATATTGCCCGTACAGGCCCTAGACTCCGACTGGTTAGACTGGTACCTGCCTAGACCTAGCCTACAACTACTGGGCCTCTAAAARTGCAACTTTTGTCTTYYTCTGCTCGGCCTCCAGTACCCGCACATCTACSCCTTCGTAGTGCGGTACCGGCCTCCCGCTACTTGAGTGTTTTCCCGCTGCAATCCCCCGATGCCAAGGCCACAGGTAAGTATCGGCCCTGAGGGCCCAGCGAACGAACAGGTGCCCTTACGGGCCACATTCAAGCAACCGGCACACAGACAAGCACGGTCACACACACACTCAAGCCAACCAGCACTCAGACAGGCACGGGCACACACACTCACGCCATCCAGCACTCAGACAGACATGCAGTCCAGCAAGCACGCATACACAGACTTAGCAGAAAGCGGGAAACTCAGTCAGGCATTCAGTCTATGGGCAAAACTCAGAAATTAGCTGTGTGTTTCAGTCCTTGTTCGGACGGGTCATCACAACTCTCTCTACCTGCACAGGGGCTCCTCTTAGCTTTGTGCGTCTCTCTTGCAGAGTATGAGACAAGCTTTCTGATTCCCGGCGCAGTGTTTGTGCCTGCAATGTTTGCAGAGATCATCTCCTTCTGGCAACACTCTGACTGGGCCCCTACCTGTATTCAGCAACTTCTGAAAGGTTTGATTTCTGAATGTTGTGATATGTCCAGGGAGTGGTACCTGGTTTAGCACTTCGTTACCCTCCGTAAGGGATGGTTTTGACTCTTGGTATCTATCAAGTACCATAATTTCAAAGCACTGAGAGGAAAAGGTGTCTATAGGAGGGAACCCCCCTCCCCCCCAAAAAAATAATAATAAAAAAAATCATGAAAGATGTCTCAAGTAGCCCTCTGCATTTTCTCCATGGTGTTCGACCTTGAGGATAGGTCTTTAGCATTGCATCGGCGTGTCCGAGATGTCGTTGGGTTTTTTATATTTTTACTCATTTTTGGCACGGCTGGGCAAGTTGTCCTGGGGCGCTCTGGTAACATAGGTTGCATGGCGATAGAGTAATGACGAAAAGATAAATCTGTCTCTTTCTTTGGTTTTCTGAAATGTAGGCAACACGCCAGGGGTAGAAATATTTGCACCAGTTCTCGATTTATGCATGCCATGTTTTCTGAAATGTAGGCAACACGCCAGGGGTAGAAATATTTGCACCAGTTCTCGATTTATGTGTGTCATCCTTGTGCAGAGCCCATGCGATTTTGCATGGTGATCACTTGCCTCGCGATTTTTGAAATCTTTTGTAACTGCTATTTTGCTTTTGTTCCAACATATGCTATGACCTCATTGGATGTTGTACTGATAGTTCCCATGTGTCAATCTTATGTTCTGTAGGTGATGCTGTTGTTAATGTGTATATCAACCAGGAGAAGAAATTCGCGTTCGTAGAATTCAGAACTGTTGAGGAGGCCAGCAATGCCATGGCATTGGATGGCATTAACTATGAGGTACCGATCTTCGCCGTTGGGTTTCCTCTTTGCTCGGGTTCACAGCTTGATGTTCAGTTCTTGCCCAATTGGATCTGCATGTTTTGCCTTCTATTCGTCCATGTTCTTGTTGTTGTCTGGTCACCGGCGTAGCCCAGCAGGACATAGGGTACAGCTAGCATGAAGGAGCTGAACGTTGAGCTTGTGAAGACTCTGGTTTGGGTTGACCGGCTGATTGGTCTTGCGTTTTGATGAATCTATTGTGGATGCATTGACGCTCATTTTCCCTCGCGTTGTGCTGTATTTGGGTTCAGTAAGCACGGGTATCACCACATGCTTATGCTGTGAGCCCAGCCATATGCGACACCACACCATCCACACGACTCTCAGAGAAATTTGCACACACTCGCGTCAGACGTGAACTCGAAGATAGTCTCTGCCAATCATCTCAATTACACAAAATTGTCTTTGTACATGCTGGGAGGCTGTCGCTGTGAGCCAGTGCTCAGCACTCAGGCATGGTCTCTCTCTCTCTCTCTCTCTCTCTCCGTCTCTCTCTCTGCCTCAGCACTCATTCATGGTCTCTCTCTCTCTCCCCCCCCCTCTCTCTCTCTCTCCGTCTCTCTCTCTCTGCCTCAGCACTCAGGCATGGTCTCTCTCTCTCTCTCTATCTCCCCCCCCCTCTCTCTCTCTCCGTCTCTCTCTCTCTGCCTCACGCTTGCTGTGAATGCCTGTCAATGTCACTCCCTCTCTCTCTCTCTCTCACTTGACCTAGCTATGAGCATGTGCGGTAGACTACTACCTACAGCATTGACCAACATTGCATCCTAAAATAGCACAGCGGCACTTCCCCCTTAGTCACACAAGTGAATATGTGTTTTTTTACGACTTGAATAACTGGACTTTTTATATTGGACTCTCTCGAGCAGTTATGGGCACGTCCCTCGGCCAAGGTTTGTTGCTTTTGGAAATTCCCTGACATTCCTGGGGCTTTGCTGCTGACTGGAGTGAGTGACACTCAGAGGGCCCTACCCACTTCTATCAGCTTTTCCCTATGCCTGCTGGTAGCTACCGGAATCTGCCTACAACGCCTGTTGTTCTACTTAGCTCTGACTTAGGGACAGTGGACTGTAGGACATGGGACCGGGTCTGGGACTGGAACTGGAACTAGAGTGGATAATAGTGAAATCCTTTTACTTAGCTCACCATATTTTTTATCATCCACAATAGAGGTGCTGAATGTAGAATGCTTGTCCCATCACGGTTCTGCGGGATCCCTTATCGCCCTCCCTTTATTGATTTTGGTATTTCCTATCACCACTTTGTAAATATGATACAAGGCCCAATTTTGGTGCTGAGAAGGAAAAATTTCCGGTGGGAATCCTGAGCATGCCAGCAAATGTTGTGTTTTCTAACAGAGGTTAGAAATCCAGCCACATCGTGACAATGGGCTAATACTTCTATAGCACACAAGGACCACGGTTCAAGCAATGCTTCTGTATCATACAAGGACCACGGTTCATTGTGATCGGGTTCTTACAGTATCCCCCTGAACAGAACGCATGGTGGTCTTTGCCGCATCTGGACTGAAAGTTGCCCGGAATACGATTATAATGATCGTATGTTCCGGATCGGTGAAGACAGTGGCTGTCCAGAGTAATTATTTCCGAATGCGGTGTTCCTATTTGTGAATTCTTCTGCCATCGCTTCAACTGTCACTGTGCCTCTGTGGTCATCTATGTGGTTGGGCTCGCAGGGCGTATCTGTTAGAGTTCGAAGGCCTAGCGACTACAACCCATCAATGGCTGCAACTCTTGGCCCAAGTCAACCCAGTCCACTATTGAATCTGGCGAATGTTGGTCTGACACCAGGGTACGTACTACGCCTGCCTATTTGATCTTTTCCTCGATGTCAAGTTCTGACTGATGAGCACTTGGAGCGAATAATAGTATATCTTGACGAGCGGATTTTGGGCTCGAGAAGTTGCACTGCAGTTTTACGTTGCTGTTTTAGTCAAAGCATCGGTGCTGTGCAGCGGGCTCAGCGAGGTGTTTCCCTGAGTCAGTGTTGAATATGTTGCCTGATTTGGTGTTCATGAAGTTTAGAATGTTGGGAGTGTGGCGATGCAGCTGTCTCAGTGATTGGTTGTTCTTGCTCAGTTGCATCAGTTTGAAATATCTTGAGGGTGATTGGGTGTTTGGGAGCATTGGTGTGGTTTATGACTGGAATATGATGTGAAGTTGTAAGTTGTAAAGTGAAAAAGTAAACACAAGAAAGAAAGCCAAAGAAAGAAATGTGGATGAAGAACGCAGAGCTCTCTTTTTGTGGGCCTTTAAGAGAAAGGTTTATGTGAGAGCAGCCTATGTGTGACACAGGCTACTTGTTTTGTGAAATGAGGATTTGCCCAACTAGAGAAAAGAGAAGAAAAGAAAAGAAAAGGAAAGAAAGAAAAGGATGGAAAAGAAGAAATATGAATGGATGAAGAATGCAGAGCCCTCTTTGCTTCAGGAAAAGTTTGTGCAAGCAACTTGGATGTGACACCGGCCAATTGTTCCCTGGAATCCAGAGCCCTGTTTGTTTTGTGGAGTACATGAGTATCAAGAAGAATAGGAAAGAAAAGAAACATGAATGAAGAATGCCGAACGCTTCTGGGTCTTAGGGAATTTGTGAGCAACCGTGCATGGCAGTGGGGAATTGTTTCGTGAAATATAATCCGATCATTCTCATTCCATATTGTAACTGCTCGTTTCTCCGAGGATCTGGGTCCTCGGCAGGCCTAAGGGGCCCCTGTTGCATATGCGCCCTCCGTAAGTGAAGGCGGGCCTGATAAATCACGAGAGGCCCTCGGCTGTCAATTTCGTGTTTGGGGTCCAGGCAGTTTCGGCGCGCCAGTTGGTTGAAGGAAAACACAGGCCAAGCAGCGAGGAAATTCCACAGCCTTCGAGTCTTTTCCGAAAACGCAGGCCCTGGGCGAGATTCGCAGCCTCATACACAGACAGTTGGGAGGCCCAACCGAATGAGGCCCAGTTGCTGCACCAGAGGCGCAGCATCCTGGGGCCTACCGGAAGCTTCTGGGCCCAGGCCCAGGCCAGCGTGCTTATCCAGGCTGCGAAGGCAGGCAGGCTCTTTCTATATAGGAAAGAGCTCGCTGCCTGGAGCCTCATTCAGCACTTGCATGCTGGCGGCAGCGCTGCTGGAGCGGACACTCGTGGGCTGCTGCTGGCGCTGAGAGGCAAGGTGCTAGCGCGTGCGGTCGTGCAGGGAGCAGGGCGCTGCTGAGGGCAGCGCCATAGCCCAGCCTCCATAGCTGGATGGGCTTGGAGTACAGTGAGGGGCAGGGGTGGTCTTCGGGTGTACAGAGGGAAGACGTGGGTGAAGAAGAGGGAGAGAGAGAAGGATGATGATGATGATGTGAGGGCACATACCTGGTATTGGCGATGGTTTGCTATGGGTGACATCTTCAAGTACTTCGTGGGCTGCTGACGTCAACAGTTGCATTGTCAGTTAGCAGGCAGACTGTAGCTGTGTAGGAAGTAGGCTGGGCGCCGAGCGCCAAGTAGGGAGATGGGGCCTGGACACTCATGTTGGTGGTGGCGAGAGCAAGCTCTCATTTACATTGGTTTTCAGTGTTACGATTCTCCATTGGTGTTATATTGGTGCATTTCTGCTTTCTGGACACTGTGATACTATCTGGCCTTCAATGTGATTGTGCATGCTGGACATTGTCATCTCACTATTGCTCATTTTCCTTGCATTTCCCTTTTTGTTGGAGAACGAAGACATTGGAGATGCCACCCATGTGCTTCTCAAACAAACTGGGTTAGGGAGAATTGTTTTTTTTCTTTTTTTTGGGGGGGGGTTGTGTTTACTTTACACGGACTCCACGGAAAAAGCTGACTGCTCCAGACTGTTTTACTATACCCAACTCGACAGAAAACGCTGATTGTACGGGTGTTTTGTCAGACTTTAACCAACTCATGAGGAGGTTGAGTGTGTGTGTGTGTGTGTGTGTGTGTGTGTGTGTGTGTGTGTGTGTGAGGGAGAGAGAGAGAGAGAGAGAGAGAGAGAGAGAGAGAGAGAAGGGGGGGGGGAGGGTTGTGTTCATTATATTACAAACTCAACAGAAAAAGCTGACTGTGCCAGACTGTTTTACTATACACAGCTCAACAGAAAAAGCTGATTGTATGAGACTCTTTTGTCGGACTTTCACCAACTCATCAGGAGGTTGTGTGTGTGTGTGTGTGTGTGTGTGAGAGAGAGAGAGAGAGTGTTTGGCTGCTTCTTGTATACTTAGGATAGGCTGTGTATTGTTGTGGCAGTGCTCAAGGTGTTCATTATATTACAAACTCAACAGAAAAAGCTGACTGTGCCAGACTGTTTACTATACACAGCTCAACAGAAAAAGCTGATTGTACTAGACTCTTTTGTCGGACTTTCACCAACTCATCAGGAGGTTGTATATATGTGTGTGTGTGTGTGTGTGTGTGTGTGTGTGAGAGAGAGAGAGAGAGAGAGTGTTTGGCTGCTTCTTCTATACTTAGGATAGGCTATGTGTATTGTTGTGGCAGTGCTCAAGGTGGAGCCGATGGACCAGATCGAATATTTATCGGGGGGTTGCCATATTATTTGACAGAGACACAGATCAAGGAGCTACTGTCAGCATTTGGGTGAGTCTCTTGCCCTTGATTGGCCTCAGTCAGGCAACTTTGTGAGTCGTGTGTGTATGGTAGAAGTGCATCTCTGTGAGCTTCTGTGCTTATCCCCCATGCTGGAGTCTTTCGCATTGTGAAGAGATCCTGTTTTGCTGAATCAGGTTCCTTTGATGATGGTGAACCGCTCAACAGGTTAGGTTGACTTAGTGACACTGCCATCGTACTGTGCAATTGTGCAGGCCGCTTCGAGCATTTGATTTGGTGAAAGATCGTGACACAGGCAATTCAAAGGGTTATGGTTTTTGTGTATATCAGGTGAGTAATGATTGCTTCGAGATGTTGGCACAGCTATTTTGTATTAATTAAATTTAATTTCAGAATCGTAGTTTTTCCGGTGACATAAGAGGAGTATCCCAGTGTTCTCTGTGTCCACTTGAATGGTCAAGCTTGTGAAAGAATGCGGAAGTGTGTGTACTTGTGGTAAAAGAACGAGATAAGTGTAGAGGCACACCAGTCACATCATCTTCGGACTCGAGAAAATGTATGTGTGGAGTCGCTTGGCCAAATGAAATGCGAAGAAACGGGTGATCTGTGCACATGTGCGTGGCACACAGCCTGTTATGACAAGCAAGGGCTAATCTAAATGCAAAGATGGTGTGAAGCTGCGTATCGATGGTAAAAGAGCGGTTTGGGTGTGGGGGCATGGGGGCGTGGGTGTTGGCGGCGGGGGGGTAGGTGGGTGTTTGTGTGTGTGTGGACAAAGAACCCTGAACTTTCTCCTGCTTCCATCCATGAAACATTCACAAACCATCCACAAAGCAAAGAATATGGAATGGTTAGACAATTTGTGTGTGTGTGTGTGTGTGTGTGTGTGTGTGTGTGTGTGTGTGTGTGTGTATGTGTTCGTGTGTGTGTCGAGGGTGCCGTCATGGGGACAAACTTCGACAAAGGGATCGCACACTGTGAGACCAAAATGTTAGCCAAGGCGAAAGCTGTGAAGTTGGCTTGTTGGATACAACGACTATCCCCGCTTTCCGTTTATGGTGCTACCTCCCTCCGTTTTTCAGTGGTCTGATTGGAAATGTTTGTTGTGCAGGATCCTTCAGTTGTGGATGTTGTCTGTGCTGCGTTGAATGGGATGAAAATGGGTGACAAGACGCTGACAGTACGGCGTGCTACTGCCAGGTATGCCCTTGGCCCCACTATTTGGAAAATGAAGAGCTGTTCTCTTATCCCCCTTTTCTTCTGCATTATCATCTATCTTTGCACACCTCCGGAGGTTTTGGTTTCAGGGGTTCATGCACCCATTGCCTGCTTATGGATTAGTACAGGAACTCGAACTGCACAGGAATGCTGATGCTTGGGTTGGCTAAAAAAGATTAGCATCATGATTCAGCATCATTATGCTGAGGAAGGAACATGATGATGATGAAATCAATCATCATCATCAGCAGGCATTTGATGAATTATGTGATGTTGCTGGGGGGGAACAAATAATAATGATGCCACATGGGATTTTTATGCCATGTCCGCACATCAGCAGGCATTTGATGAATTATGTGGTGAAGGGAGAGCATGAGCAGGAAAGGACGGAGGTGAGGAGGGCAGACAATCATGGGACATGCGACTTGTAGGAGGGCAACCACAACGGGGACGAGGGAAGGGATATGATGTGGGCTTCGTAGAGGCTCATGTGTACTATCTGTGCCGAGTGACCCGCTTCATTGTTTCACTTTTTTTCTCACTACTGTCTTCCCCAGAATAGAACGCACTTATGGTCATTGTCTCTGTATCTAGAGTGAAAGTTGCCCCGAATACAGGCATAATATCCATATATTCTAGTTGGGGGAAACCGGTGGGTGCCACATCTGGAAACCGGTGGGTGCCGCACGATGTCAGATGCACCGAGATCGTTACACAGAGTCCTTGTGCGTGAGATCTTTACACAGAGTGCTTGTGCGCGCACATTGCTTCATTGCATATATTCTAGTTGGGGGAAACCGGTGGGTGCCACATCTGGAAACCGGCGGGTGCCGCACGATGTCAGATGCACCGAGATCTTTACACAGAGTCCTTGTGCGTGAGATCTTTACACAGAGTCCTTATGCGTGAAATCTTTACACAGTCCTTGTGCGTGAGATCTTTACACAGAGTGCTTGTGTGCGCACATTGCTTCATTGCAATGTACGTGTTCCTTTTGTGGCTTGATCTAAACAGCTGATAGTGGGCAACAACAGCTACTGAGGCGTTGGTAGTTTTGGCCACCAACTGAATTGTGCCATCATTTCCTGTCACTGCTTTGTCCTCCCTTGCAGCGGCCAACCAAAACCTGATCAGGCAAATGTTCTGCAGCAAGCTCAACATCAGATAGCACTTCAGGTATGGAATACTTGGTCAATCCTAAGTGATTATGCATTATTCGCTGTCTGCTTCTCTTTTTTCATCTTATCTTTGGCCGTCACACTGAACCAGCTCCACGAGGTTTCTGTTCTGCACGACGGATGCCGCCTTGTTTTGGTCCCGAAGAGAAGCCAACTATTTTGTACGTGGAGGGTCCTTGTGAAGGGCTGTGGGACAGAGGGAGGGAGGGTGGATAATATTTTGGTTCTTACAATCTCCTGAGGGAGAGAGAGAGAGAGGGAGGGGGGAAGGGGGCACGGAGGGGGAGGGGAGGAAGGGGGCGAGGGAGAGATGGAGAGAGGGAGGGAGGGAAGGAGGGAGGGTGGATTATATTTTGGTTCTTCTACCCTTGACAAGGAGGGATGACACGATTATGGGACCAAAACACTTTTCTCCTGGTGTTTGTCCTCCTCCGGACTAACACACCCATTCAAGCGATAGCTCTTTAATGATTGGCGGTGAAACTAGTCTTGTTAGCCATATAGAAATTTGCAAGGCCCTCGACCAGTGTGCGGGTCGATAATTGGTGGCGGCCCGATGGCCCTGATCTTCTTTGTCTGTGGAATTTGGTAACCTAAAGTAGGAAAAATGTGGTTGGGGGAGCCTTTGAAGCCCTTGAAAATTGCTGGAACAGATTTAACAACACTGTGATTCTAGTGCACTTCCCAGATGCCTAGGATATCGAGGCTCAGTTTGTGTATAATGTATATATGTATACAACTCCAGAGTCCAAACTTTCTTTTTTTTTGGGGGGGGGGGCGGGGGGGACAAAGAGTTCACTTTCATTAAGCAACAACCACAGCAACGGAGGCTGGGAATCCCTCCACATAGCAACCCGGAAGTTGTGCGGTCATTACCCAGCTACGGCTGATGCTGGAAACCCGGTCCGGCTGTCCATATATATATACCGTTCTTCCTTCATTTTGGCCTGCAATCGACATGCCATTTGTTGGGGCTGTATGTTGGGCATGCTGAATGCCAGCTGTCGTGGCAATTGTTGCACTGAGAATGCTCAGCTAGGTCTTCCATGTGTTCATCCACGTCATCCTTACAATGCATGGCCTCTCTGTCGTCAAGGACAGACTCGTTCTTGTGCTTTTCTTATCCTCTTTTGCCTTCATCTTCACTCCACACTCCACACTCCATACTTTCCCTTGCTTTCCCTTTATCGTTGTTTGTTTGTCTGCTCTCCGTCGCTCCTCCCTGTGTTTATCCCCGCCCCCTTCACTCTGCCTCTTTCTCACAGCGTACAAGTGGGCTGTTATGGCACACGGGGATGGGGGCAGCTCGCGCTCAACTTCATCAGCGTGGTGAGCCTTGTACGTGAGAGGCACGGTGAAGGGGGAGTTAAAAGAAGAATGAGAAAAATGAATGGTTTCAGTGTGCCCTTCATGTTTGTCTTGTTTTTTAATTTGTTAGTTTTGCCTTTTGTTTCGCAAAATGCGTTCTTTTAGTTCATAGTTATGTGACAATATATATAGAACTCAATGACTCGTGTAAATAAAGCAATGAAGCTGGACTACAGAAAGCTACCAAACAAGATGCCCTAAATACAGAGTGATGGAACAGGCGTCCTTTTTCTAACTCGAAGTCTACCTGTTCATCCCACAAGTGCCCAGAAATGAACAGTGGTCCTTTTTCTGACAAGTTTGCCCATTGATATGTCTTACCGACTCTTACACCATCTTGCTTCCATTTCCTTGCGCACCGCCCCTGCGAGTGGATGGGACCCTTTTGAGCTTATTCCCCTCAGCTCCCGAAAGACTGAATACACTGAATAGCATATTTAAAATTATTGCGGATGCCATACTGCGGCCATAGCTTACATTTGAATCTACGTTCTCTTCTGGCCAACCATAGGATCCGGAAGCCTGTAATCCTAAATTTATTGGAAATTTTATTTCCATCATTGTTAACAAGTAATAACAACGCTTCCCAGGAGAATGAACTCCTTGGATCCAGACATTTTTTTGTCGTGCCCTGACCAAGCGAACGGTCTTTGCCTTTGTCTTTTATTTGTGGATTGTTGCCTTATGAATGGCCATTATTGTTTCCAGTTGAAAGAATAAAAAAATTGCTTCCATTAAATCCATTTACAAAAAAGTGGATTGCTGCCTTATGAATAGCCATTATTGTTTCCAGTTAAAAGAACAAAAGAAATGTTTCCATAAAAAAAAATAATAATAATAACAAGGATTGGTGGAATTCTAGAGTGCGTTTTCCGACCAAGTGGCCAGGCCCAGAAGGTTATCACCTGGAATTCTACCGTGTTCTCCCAAATAGAATGCCCGGTCATTAAACCAAAAGTAGGACCTTTCCCGCTTCAGAAACGAGGGAAAACGCCTGTTCCCGAAGAATTTGGAGGCCGGGCCCGACGACGGCTGCCATCCGATAAATCTAATCGGCGGCCGACGTTTCATTTCGACCTCCTGAACGGTCGGAGGCCGGCCCTTTTCCGATACGACAAAGGCATGACCGTCTTCACCCGAATAAAATGCCCGGTAATTATCACTGTATCTGGGCGGAAAGTTGTCCCAAATACAGCTATAATGACCGGGCGTTCTATTCGGGTAGTGGTTTAAATCTGTATTTTTGGCAACTTTCAGTCCAGATACTGCGATGACAACCGTATTCGGGTGAAGACGGTAGAACTCCCTAACTGGTCAAAGTAGTCGGGCGTGTATGTTTTTTTCTGAGAAGAACAGTGTCGGTTTGTTTGCACGGTTGGCCATCTGTTCTTCAGACTAGACATGGTTTCTTGTATGGATGCAGAATTTGCAGCAAAACTAACGGGCGAGAAACTCTGTGGTGACGAGGGGCAGAGAAGTACGATAATTCTGTTTTACGCGCTTGAATCAAAGTCTGTATTTTGTTTTGAGAAGCTTCGCATACCTCGTTCAATTGAATGTCTCAAGTTGCAAGCTTTTCTGATGACGTCTCGTTTTTTTGTTGCAAATGCAAAATATTTCCTCGTACAGCGGTTTGCAATGACCACGGGAGCAACAGGTGCGAACTCTGTGGCGATGGGAGGCATGCCAGCATTTCTGTCGGGAATGCAGGGCCTCATTCCTGGAGGCATGGTCAGTATCCCCACGACAATGCATGCAATGAGTGCCGCCATGCCTGCAGCGCAAGTGGCGCAACCAAGTGTGCCGCAGGATGTTCCCACCAGGGTTGTCTGCTTAGTTCAGGTAACAGTCTGTGTGCTGACTTAGAACCTGCCTGCCCTTTCACACCTGTACCTGATTTTGTTTGTTTACAGTCCATGTGCTGTGGTTATATGCTCTCTTCTGGTGGGTGCACAATCTGGCAAGGTCACTACTATGCTCATGTGTCTCAGCTGAGTATGTTCATTCCACTGTAGTGGAGCAATTTCAGTTCTGTGGTGCGTTCGCCAACTCGTTCGTCCACATACTGTGGAAACCAGAGAACTGACTATGACTGTGGAGTATACGATTGACAGCCCACTGCCTGTTGGTAATTTCATCTGGAACCAGAGTTAAAAATAGTACCATGGCCATCATGACACATGGAGCTGGCATTTGCCAACTCGATGGAGTTGAGGGATTCATGCAGAGAGGGGGAATTAAGTGCGCACAGGGTGTTCCGATGACAATGCAGGGTGTGTGGCATCTGCGGAACGGCGATGGTTTGGGAACTTGGGAAGCCTCGTCTTTCCCCGGATGTATGGTCATTATAGCTGTATTTGGCCCAACTTCCAGTCTCGATGCAGTGCAAATGATCGTATTGTCTATTCAGGTGAAGATAGGTAGCTAGTAGTGGGCTGGGAATGTGGACAGCTAGAGGGTTGGTGAATGCAGAGTACATTAGTGTGGCCGACCGTCGGCGGCCCCAAAACCGTTGGCTGCTGATGGGTAGGCGACCGGTAGGGACCCCGCAGTGCGACAAAAAATCATGGCGGGGTCCTACCGGGCCCGTGGAGCCTGGCCTCAAGAACCGACTTTTTTGGCAGGCCGGGTTCCGGGAAGAAGCCCAGGCTCCACAAAAAGTGAGAGCTGAACAACAACTCTCACTACCTCTTTATAGTAGCCCCTGCAGAGGGATCCAAATTTTACCCCTTCCACTACCCAAAACCCTATGTGTTGTTCTTGAAAGAGATTGTTTTTTTTTTTTTCTTATTCTTCTGAACTGTTCTTATTCTTCTGTTTTTCCCGAACCCTGCAGTCACCTCCAATCACGCCCCAAACACCGCAGATTACCCACCAACACCCCCCCCTGAAACAGCCCCTGCATAACCCACAACGAACATGTAAACACCTGCCAACCACTGTACCTGAAGCACCCACAGGCCACCTCGGACACCCCCCAAACACACGCTGAACTCCCCCACAGCGCACCCCTATGACCCCCAAACATCTCCCCCTGAAACAGCCCCCGACTACCCCCCAAATCCTCCTCAGCGGACCCGTACAACCCCCCAACACCTCCCCTGGAATCAGCCCCCGAATACCCCACAAAAACACACAAGCACCTGGCAGCCACCACACCTGAACCACCGACAGACCAACCCCCGAACACCCCCGGTTACCCCCGGAACCTTCCCCACACCACGCCCCTGCAACCCCCTTCCCCCCCAACACCCCCCATGCCCCCGGAACACAAATTTTATTGCAGATTTTGGCTGTTCGGCTGAAGCGCAGAGCAGCCACATAGTCAGGCAGTGTGCCGACCGGTTGGCAGACGACCTTCATGTCGGCCTGACGGTAGGCAGGGAAACACCCGCGGACGCGTCCGCAGGGTCGAGCTCGGATCGCGGACCCAAATGGGTCCGCATCCGCGGCCTACCTGGTCTGCACCGCGGACCCGATTTTACACGAAGTTTCCTGAATTAAATGATAGGTGAAAAAAAATAAATATATATGGGGTTGTAGGGAATTTTGAGCACTACAACCCCATTTTTTTTTTTTGAATCCGACTTTATTTAGGATTTAAAAAAAATCAAAAACCAAATTGGATTTAAAGAAAATTAAAAAATATATATATAAAGAAAAGCAGGAATGTTTTTGGTCATTTTTTATCATGAGATATATGGTCCGTGTGTTTACCTGTATTTTTTTAGAAATGAATTCATGTTTTTTGCAGAAGTGTGAGGTGTTTT